TGGACTTGTTTGCTATATTTTACGAGCTAAAAAAAGTGGTACTTAGGTTAGATATTTTCACAGACCAAATATTTTGACTTATTTTTCCCAGAAACTTCTGATTTCTCTCTCTCTCTTTTCCTGGCTTTCAAGACACTGTGTCTTTAATGACAAAGCTGCAGGGATCTGTCGAGACCTTAAATATAGACCGTATCATCACTTAGACTTCTAAATCAAGAAAAGTGCAAAAAAGCCTTATAACCAGAACTCATTTATAACTACTCTTAACATCTGCTCATGAAATTAAAATCACACTACTAAGGAAAAGAAGCAACCATGGAAACCTGAGTGTGACTAAAGTTCAGCAGTGGCCAACTTTTTCTCAGCCAGTGAGCTTGTTAACAGAGCTGCATGTGGTTGCCTCACTCTGTGAAAAAGGCTTGTAGTGACTCACTGATTGTGCTGATGCATTTCAGAGCACTTTAACAGTGGTTTGGACCCTTCCAGGTGTACCCCCACTACTTAACCACGCAATCTTTAAGAGAAATGTAAGCTGTGACAAGGAGGGAAATTGCCACAAAGGGAAGATATTTGCACAGAATTCAAGCCGAACCAAAAATATACAATCAAGAAGAAGTGGTAAAAAATTCAAAGTCAGACAGAAAGAAAAGTGATTAGCTTGGTCTAGCTAGCTGGGAAATTTGCTAAACGACTTAAAAAGTTGTTTAAATTATTTCAAAACAAGAAGAAGGAAAGGAAAAGAGGGGTAGTTGCTTGGACATTACACACATTGCATTGCATCAAGGAGCAAAGTGTGCAGGGTCAGGGTGCCGCCTGTGGAGCAGCCTTTATCAAAAAAACTTTTTAGCAGAGCAGACCTCTCGCTGTGTCACTCTGACAAATGATCAGTGTAGTACATAGTTTTTTTCACCTCACTTTGAGCCTCTAAAAAGGCCAATCCATTATGGAAATGACAGCGTGAGGAGAATATCTCCTTAAAAGTCATTGGTCAAATGACTTCAGAGGCCAAAAGGTCCTCTAAAGTATCCTTGAACAAGACATTTCACAACATCACAAAAGTGTGTGTCCAAACCCCGCAGGTGAGGCCGTGGAGCCGCTTTCCGAGCAGGGTGTGAGCGAGATCCCGGCCATCAGGAAGCCCAGCAAAGAGACCACCTGGCTGGGCCCCAAAGAGAGCGCCGTACGCCAGCACAGGCAGGAGATGAAAGCCAAGATGAAGACCAACAAGGTGGAGGAGACAAAACCTGCACGGCCCAAACAGGTGAGGCATTATGAAGGTGGCCCTTTAGCATCATGTAGCTGTGGTGGCGATGTTTGCAAACTTTTCATCAATACATAATACAAGTTAACATGATCATTTGAACAGTTTGAAGACGAGAAAATATTTCAAAGGTGCTTTCTTTCACTTCACCTTTTACTTGCTATAAAACACCCACTTAGTTCAATAAGAAACCATCCAATATTGAGGATTGAAGAGCTGAAACAGGGTGCACAATGTGTTCTGTTTCATGGCTGCCATTGAGACTGAGAATGTGGAGTAGGGAAGAAAAGGGAGTGCGGTGCTGCCTCACTCTGGTTATGCAGTGGGTTCATGTTTGAATTTTAAAAAATCTTTAAATGTACAGTAATGCCTGTTGACGATAGTTCTATTTGAATTCATTTACAGCCTGAGAGGGAAACACTATATACATTTTAATGGGATTTGGCACGAAGAAAAAGTGTAATTTTCCAGTTTATGTTTTCCTTTCCGCCTTTTAAATCAAAAATCTGATATTTACTGACCTCAAATGCACCTGATCCCTGAGGCTTGACTTACGGGGTATTTCTAACAGGCATCGTGGTACTTTCCTTCCACCATAAAAAACCAAAAAAACATTAAAAAAGTTATTGCTCTACCAGAAACGTATTACTGTCTCAACAAGACATTTGGCTCCTTTTGAATCGGGAGGTAAACCTGGGGTCACTGGCAGGAGTTGTTATTCATTACTGGCAAGAAAACACGATTCATTTGCTTCATTACAGAAATCCCCATTGCTCTATAATGTGTGTGTCTGTGTGTGTGTGTGTGTGTGTGTGTGTGTGTGTGTGTGTGTTGTGCCTTTTTTATGAGATTTGATGTAGCAAGTTAGAAAGTTGTGATTGCTTTGCAAACACATCTGTACAGCTACTTTCTCTTGTGTGCATTGATTTTCATGAATTCTTGGGCATATTTCATTGTAAACAAATTCTAATATGCATGCACAGAAGTTAGAAGAAACAGAATAATTTGTACTGAACTTTTTTTCACAGCAAGCCACATCATTTTACCCAGAAACCTGATGCTGCTAACACACCCAAATCAAGCTATACAGGCCTGAAAGCATGACAAGTGTTTTTTTCCTTTTTCAGACTCAGTGTCAGCAGGAGCTAGACCAGATCCTGGAGAGGATATCCAAGATGCCCTTCAGAGATAACCGAGGTCCCCTGGAAGACTTGTACGCCCTGCACATCCCCAACTGTGACAAGAGGGGGCAGTATAACCTCAAACAGGTGACTCCAGGAGTTTGAAACAGAGGGTGGAAGGCAGGCAGGATTCAGGCCTCTGGTGTGTAAAGCATTAGAAATGCAAAATCAGACAAAAATGTTTTTCTATTTTTACGTCAAAAAGACCCTCCAGTCATAGGTTTACCACTTGAGGAAAAAAAAAACATTTGCATAGATTTTTGTTTGTTTAAACCCTCTTAATGTGAAGAAATAAAAAGAAAAAAGGAAGATGATATAATTGAAACATATGGATTATAAAAGTGCAAATCTTTTGCAGTATATTAGGGTTGCAAAGTGTAAAAAATGAGACTCCTAATTTAAAGATATTTTCAAGATATTAAATAAAATGGAGTCAAATTAAAAAATACGAAATATTAAACCCAAAATTAAACTATAACTTTCTGCACAAATAAACGATTACCATGAATAATGACTCAATTCAAAGAATGACATGCAGGAATAAAGTTGATTTTGTGTTTTCAGTGCAAGATGTCACTCCACGGTCAGAGGGGTGAGTGCTGGTGCGTCAACCCTCACACCGGCCGACCTATCCCATCAGCCCCCACTGTGAGGGGTGACCCCAACTGCAGCCAGTACCTCAGAGAGCTGGAGCTGGAGCTCCCCGACACGGCCCAGATATAGAGTGGCATTAAACCCCCCAAAAAAACAAAAAACTGTAAAGTACTTGGGAACAAAAAAACATCTGAGTAAGCTATATCTTATCTTTCTGTGTGTTTGCGTCTCTAGTACATTTGATGACAGCGACGTGTGAAATCTTAGCCACCAAAAAGGATTAAATGGTAGAATCCAGCTTGCTGCGTAGGACGTAACTGCAGATTAATTTTAGGAGGAGTAAAGATAAGACTCGTAGATATTCAGTAGATGTCAGCTGGAGTCGGTGACTTCGCTTTGCTAATGTGACTTTGCTCAGATTTGCTCTGTTATCTGTGTTTTGTACTGTATGTTTTGAAAAACAAAGGAAAAGCCTTCAACATATCTGGTGTTTTTAGGAGTTTATTGTGTCATAGTTTGCAGACTACTGTTAAACAACATTAACAGATAATGCTATTAAAATGGTGATAATTTCAATCCACACCTGTCTGTTTTTACTGTTTCACTTTAAATCTTGTGCACGAGAAGCAGGGTCATTTTAAAAAGCGGTTGGATTTGAGGAAAAACAGGAAAAGGCAATACAGTCTACATTTCAACAAATCAAGTTAAAGTTGAAAAAACTGTTTGTTTTGCAAGTTTTTAAACTTTTAATTAAACCAGGTTGCATTTGAAAAAAAGACTACAATCATGCAAATTACTAAGCGAGGCTGTCCCCCTGTTGGCACATCTAACTTTGAGCTAAATAATAACTTTAGCATGCTAGCATTTGCAGCATGAAGCAGCTAAATTACTTTGGCCATATTCACAAAACCTCCTAAACGTTGCTCCTCGTGGCAAAATTCTAAGAAAATTCTTAAAGTCAGGACATTTTCCACTCAAAGTTAGGACTAGATCCTTGTAAGGATGAAAGTTATTCACAAAGTGTCTTAGCCCTTAAGAGAGCTCATAAAGTGTTAAACTGTTCGGAGTAGTGAGGAGGACTTTTAACAGGCTTAAGAGTTTCTCAACCTGAGGACAAAACAGAGAAATGTTCTCCAAACACTACCACACAGACATTTTAACCCATCTCTGAGTTCTTTCAGGACAAACTGAGACATGCATGTTGAGTTTTTATACATGTGCTCACCTCAACAGGTGCATCCAATCACTAATTAAGGCTCTTTACCGGCTGTTGTAACAATCAGCATGTGAAGAAGCTGCTGCACAAATGGACATGTGATTTCAAACATTTTGCAGGCTATATACTTATAAAGTATGTTTTACAAATTATCACACTTATGCTACATTTTTTGATTAACCAATCACAGCTTCTTAAAAAATGTGTCATACCTATCCGACCTAATTTAAAAGTTTCTATCCATTCCTTGCTCAGAGTTGCAATTGAATTGGATAGCAATTCATCCAAATATTAAAAACACAAATTTCAACCTCATGGTAGGGTTAGAAAAAATGTCTGTAGGCTACATCCTCTTGAGACAAAATAACAATGGCACTCAATCAAATATTTGTAGAGATTGTTTGGTCAAAAATTCAATTCGTATCTGGCATTGGAGGAAAAGTTAGAAGTTTGCCAGTTGACAGGAAACAGCCTCTGAGGACCATATATAGGTCGACCAAATGTAATAGTAATGCATGATGACTGTGAGCCAAAATGAACCAAATGTTGTGCAAAGTGTAGTGTTCCTCTCAAATGAGTATTGTACCTGCATGTGGTTTTGTCTTTGACTGCAGATGGAAACAACCTGCATGGAAAACCAAGAGTGTCTTGACCATTTTCAATGTCATAGAGATAGTATCTACTTAATAACAGAACCACGGACTCAGCATTAAGACAGCAAGGTTCACACAAAAAGTACAGATGTGCATTTTAGTGAGTACATGAACTTTATTTAAATAGTGATTTGTCATTACAAAAACGAGTACATCAATTACACGCCTGATAAATATTTCACCATGATGTTCACATTAATCTTGTGTCTTAGCTGAGATTTTGAAAAGTTCAAAGTGTCACTGTGTTGTGCTACTATTAACAGCAAGAGTTTCATGAGCCCCTGTCAATGCATTAGGAATGTCTGAGAATGTAATAGCCATTCATTGGAGATTAAAATAACAAACAGTGGCGATTGACTAAGAGATCATTGTTTTCTGGAGTATCCCTCTTCAACAACACATTGGGTCCACATGCAAATCAAATTCAAAGTGGCGTTTGCCAGAAGGCACTTGAATTTACATACAAACTCAGCGACCTTGCTCTTTGCAGGATAAGAGACCCGGAAAACCAAGTCCCCATCGGCCAACAGATTTGCCTGTGGACACCCTGCACGTGGAAACAGAACCAACGTGAGGTGTTTGCATACGATTTGTGTGTGGAGGGAAATGAACAGCACCAGGCAGTAGCTTGGATTGACTTAGCTTGTAAGCATTTCAACCAGAGATTTTTGTCATTGAGAACAATATAAGGGCATGGCACGTACAGTACAGTACAGTATACACACATACAGACACGCAGGAGCATGCACACACACTCTGTACATACATTTACAAACAGTGGACGCCATTTTTTGGACTTGGAAAAGGCCTTTCAAGAGCTGTTAAAATATTTAAGCTTTTACTGTAAAATACAGTTTGTTCAAGAGTCAGGTTTTATTGTAATTGCCTAAAATACAACCAAGTTTAACAAGTAGACGCATACAAGACTCTTCTGATAGGGACAGAATGTGAGCTACAGTTATGGCTAATTGCACTGCTAAGCTTTGGTAGCCTATTTACTTTACTATGATGTCGAAAAGTTATATTTCACCACCTAAAAAATTAACATGATTCTGATGGGTATTGTTCTTAATTTCTGATTTGGTTTCCACCAATGTAATGTTGAATTCTTAATTGATATCGGTGAGTTTGTAGTGCAAGCTTCGATTCCTTGCTAGGCTAGCAGAGACAACAGGAAATAGCTGCTTCCAGTCAAAAAAATGTATCCTGGTTGATCAGTGAGTTCTTTCACATTTTCAGAAAACATTTGTGTTGTCAATAAACCAAAAAATATGAGCACAACTTAATAAATAAGTGCGCAATTGAGGTGCTCGGTGGATTTTTTAAACAATTGGACAGAGTCCAATATGGGGTTCTCGGCTTCTTCTTCTTTCAAAACAGACAAGTGTGAAAGTGGTGTTTTGTCATCTTACTATCTGCAATGACGCAATCATGTTTAATGTCAAACTATTCCTTTTGGTATGTAGGCTTTTTTAGCTATAGGCCTCCAATTAGCAAAACTGGCTAACAATGACAGCTATCCTGCCACCACAGCTTAAGCGTATGACTCCTGTCCACTTAGGAGTCATTTTTCCCCATGTGATGACAATATAAAAACTCACCTTATACCAGAATATCATTTACACTACTAACATTTAGCATTACATGGCTAATTTACTACAAAACTGAATCAAATAAGAAAAAATATGATTTGTAGCCACATTTAAAAGTTTTGTCCTACAATTTCTAGGTAAAATTTAACAGACTCAAGTAGACAATATATCATCAGTATCATACAAATATATATATAATCCTATATTCTATCTATGGATATAAAGAGGCCTGGTGTTAGCTTACCTCAGAACAGTCCGTTTGGGGCCAGAATTAAGACCTACATGTGCAGATTTTAACCCAAGCAAGAACTTCGGTTCAACTCTCCTTTAACGAGACAACAAAAAGAACAATGCAGTCCATCACACCTGACCATGTATATAACGATTTGTGTCACTTTTTTCCTGATTTGGCAGTCATTTAGCGTGCTAGCTTGATTGGCAGGTTTTAAAAAGAACAGGGCTCAACGAGTTTGACCGGTTAGCTCTTTCATTCGTTGCTGTTGCTGCTGCTGTCGAGCTCTTTGCACTGCAGGTCTCCGCCGGCATAGTTGATGCCAGGGATTTTCACACCAAAGCGGTCGACACACCAGCAAATCCCCCTCCTCCGACCACGAGACGGCTTGCACTGCAAGGAAAGAGTTGGCAGAAGCAAGGAAAGAAAGTTTAAAATGATTTCCAGTAATTTTTCTCATTTAAAAGTTTGTCTCAAAAGCCAAAGTGACAAATTATTTTACTGAATTAATGTAATAAGCAACAAAAAAAAACATGTTTCCATACCTGTTTACGCTTGAAAAAGCCCTTCTTGTCACAGTTGGGGATGTAAAGAGAGAGAGCCAAAACCCTAGAAGTGTCCTTCATGCTCTGAATGAGATTATCCAGTCGTCTCCTGCAGGGTCCCTACACACACACAAAACCAAATACGTTTGTTTTTGCATTATCTTAAAGTGTGTTTTTGCCCCTGAGTGAAACTTGTGGTTTAACATAACATGTCAAGAATTACAGGGTGATTTTGCAATTAACTGTTCACACAATGCTGTCACGTGTGAAAGTGGCCCTGCGAGGCATCTTGGCAGATTTGTCAGAACTGGTTTCTTTATGGAGCCTGAAGCAGTAGGATGCAGTATCTGAGATTTTTATGATTTACAGCAAAGCAAACATTGTTTTCTTGCCAATATCCAACAAATTATGGTTCAGGAATGGCTCTAAATCTTGATCAGTGAAGCGAAAATTTCCCTGAGGGTTTAGCTGCATCTTTGCAATCCCTACTACACTTACAAACTCTGGCTCCAGTTTGTCGAGGCTCAGTGGAGTGAAGTCCAGGGTGCTGGTTTGTCCCAGCCTCGCCAGCTGCTTCTTGCGGTCCTTGGCCTGCTTCATGGCCAGGGCCTTCCGACTGCTGATGTGGTCTATTCCATATAAAGGCACCTTGGTTTGGGGAAGCATTGACTCTGGGACAGGTAGCATGGCGTCATCGTGAGATTCTCCATCTGATAGGAGACAAAGGCAGAAGGGGGTTAAGGTTTATTAAAGGTACCCTGTTTGTTCTAAAATTAAACTGTGTATAACATTTAGGGTCTTACAACGACGTTACATTAACTTCCTTGGTTATAAAACATTTGCAATAACTGACTGTTGGTACATTTAGAAAAATGTCAGTCTGTGTTCTTCTTCTCTGTCTTTTTATGGTGATCTGGTGATATATATCTTGGCTTGTTATTGCTTAACAATTAAAAGATAAAGTTGTTTTAAATTCAGGTCAATACATCCTCAGGACCAAGCATAGACCGTAGACAGTATAAGAAATGGATATAGCCATTGTGCCCCAACCCATCTGTTAATGGACTTGGAAAGCCTCAAGTGTAGCTTGGTAGTTGTCGTCATCTTTGTTGGTCTCTATCCTGGTAGTCAAACAAGTAGGTACTTTCTTGTGCAGGTGCTAGGAGAGCAAGAAATACAAGGAAAAAGGGACCTCTTAAAACATTGCTGAATAGCGCTACTAGAGGCTGAAACTTCCCCAACACCAAAGATATGCTTAAATACTTGACTTTGTTGACAGTTTAGAAATAGTTCGACTAAGAACGCCATCAAAAAAAGTTGCCTTTCAGTTCCGATTAGCTTAAAACAGAACTAGAAAGGAATGTGGAAGAAAGAGTCCAGCGACTGTCGGCTAAAGCTTGATTCACAGCTGGATTACTATTATCAGACGTCCTCACCACAGCATGGACTGCAATTTACACCGGAACTTTACAAATTACAGACACACTGGATTAAATTACCAATGCAACCAATTGTTACAAACAATTCAATGTCCTCAGCTGTAATATTAGTCCTCTCGAAGACGGCTTCAAAGCATTTTTCTGCCGCTTTCAAGAGCCTGTTTGAAGAAGGGTTCAAAATCAGGAGCACTAAATCCAAGACAGCACAGTCACTTTTGGCAACGTCACAAGACGACATGATGATTTCATTGCAGCAGCTAAATGCTTATTTAACACAGTCAGTGGCTACCAGCCAGCTCAAGATTGGAAGTGTTGACATAAGGGACAACATAGCCTACATTTATGGCAAGTCAGGCTGCCAGTTTGGGGTATATGTAGACCAGGGGTTTTAAAACTTTTATAGCCACTGACCTAAATGAGATATTTAGTCTCACCCTGGCACCCAGGCCCATGAAAACATACTATTACACTTGTCATGTGGCAAGCCGACAGAAACAGCCGCAGCCCATTTTGGGTAGCAGAAGCCCTCATGTACATGCATCTTTCATCAAAAATGCAGCTCTCCTGCAGCTAAATCTAAGTAACTCACCCCTCTCCCTTGTCCCACCCTCTATTCAGACGACCATAACAGTTGTGTGGACGCCTAAACATGCCACTGAGGCTTCCCTCCCCAAAAGCACTTTAAAACTGAATTCCTCCTCATTTATAGTTTTAAACATGCATTAGCTTGTACGTGTCCTAAGCCACAGCTGGCCCATTTCCACTGCTGTGTCACGCACTTGTTTCCGCTTCATTTTGGGCGGATTCTGCAAGTAAAGCCCCTCCATTTCTGCACTGACGTGATCGCTAAGCTATTAAGCTAACCGGGCGGTGAAACAAGGTCACCCGCCACGTTGCAAATGACGCCTAAGCCCCTCCACCCAACCCGTTGATGATGATCATGGTGATGTCATCTGTCCACATAATGACAGGTTCTTGGAAAAAAGCAAGAGATTCCCCAATCCTCCAGTTTCCTGCTGACACTGTTTTCTCTCTCGCTCTCTCTCTCTGCAGAAAAAGCTGTAGCAGATCAGCATAATTCCAATCAAGTCCTCACTTGCTAATCCTGATGCTTTTCTAATCTGACCTGTGCTGACTGATCACATCTTTCATTTTCTCCCTTCTTTCTCTTTTTCCTTGTTTGAATTGGCAAGACGGCAATCCTGGAGAACGAGATTCCTTCAGGATTTAAAGACAGAAAGCTGATTCCTTGTTTGATATTTATTCCCTTCTAATGCTCTTTAAAATAAAGTTTCCTTCCTCATTTTTAATCTTCAGCATCAATGTTAGATACTGCTTCAGATGATGTCAAAAAGACATAATTATAACTCGAATTTGATATCATGCACACATGACAAAAAGGGAATTAAATGAACATATTATTATTGTTATGATCAGGTTTGAATGACAATTTACGTTGAAGTCAATTTTACATGGTGGCAATATCACCTGAACCCATTGGGCCCACAAAGACTTTTCCCCAAAAAGTTACATTGGGAAAGATGTCTACAAATCAATAGATTAAAGTGGTAAAATGCAATTAAAGCGGAATTCAGAGATGGTTTTTTTTAGACATAATGAACATGCATCCAGCCACAGAAGTGTGCATGCTCTATGGGCCAAGTAGCGCAGACCTTATTTTTGCATAATACGCCACTGAGCAGCTCAGGGCTCTGCCTCCAATGTTGTATCCAGTTCGATAATACATCCATGGTGGGAACGAACATGTAGCGTTATAATCTCAGCAACAGAATTTAACAGTCTGGATATATCTCATCATTTCCCATCATCATCCCTGTAAGTTTTGTCTGCTTCATTATCTTGCAATTAACCAGAATGTCATTTTGGGCATTTGTTTTATTGGAATACGTGGTAAAAACCATTCCATGCACCTATACAGGTGACTAAAAGTACGATTGGATACATGGACATCTGATAGTCACTACTGACACTTTTCAGAATCTTCTAGTATATTCTAAGAAATTTACAGTACGAACACATATAAAAATATTTTCAAGTGCCTATAAAATGTCATTTTTTCTAGGGCATGTGTACACAAGGGCTTTTTGCTTAATTTATGCATGGCGAGTGCCCAGCAGGAGCCGTGGAGTTAATGGAGAAGCTTGGCTGACGGGCAGGCAGATGGGAGGGGCTGACTGGGGGGATCAGTAACCCACGCTCGACCTGCATTCTGCTGAATCACTGCACAGCCGAGACAGTCAGAGGGGAGGAGTAGGGGGGAGACTAAGAGATGAAGAGAGAGAGAGAGAGCAGGGTGGGACGAACAAAGCAGGGTGGGAGGAAGAGGGGGATAGTGTGGGAAAAAAAAGGGAGGAAAAAAAGGGAAGGGGATATAAATGGAAGACTTCTTTAGTAAACTAAGAGCAGAGAGTGAAAATAAAGATAACAGAAAAAGGGGTTGTAAACGTCAAAGCGATGGCTTATTTTTCATCAACCTAATTTGAACGTGACTTCCAAAGCTTCCCCCCTTTTTGCCCTTTGCAAGAAAAACTGCGGTTCTTCCCCTCAGCCAACTGAGGTTTTAACACAGCCAGAAGGATTATTTATGTTTCCAGTGTAGCTTTTTCTTCTGCACTAAAACTCCAATCTGCTGGAAAATAAAGCAGCAGACAGAATGGAAAGGGTGAAACCGGGTATGGGGTTTGGGAGGGGAGAAGAAAGGAAGAAGAATAGGGTGTTAAAGATGAGGAGGGACGGCAGCCAGGCAGGGAAAGAGGAGAAGAGGCGGGAGAGTATAAAGAGACAAAAAGGTGTGGGAAAAAAGGGCACAGGTGGTGGATGAAGAGAGGTGACTAAAGAATGGGAAAAAGACAAGAAGAAACTGTAGAAGAAAAGAGGGCCAATATTTCCCACAATTCTCTCTACAAAGTAGACACAGTGACATGTCATTCAAAGGAGCCAACAAGGAGCCTCTCCTTTAGCACCACCTGTAATCTTCTCCCTTGTTTTATGTCGGGCTAAGGGGGCCCTGAGGCGGCGGGGCCACTCACACGAAACCTGCTGATTTACTGCTGGCAGCCCCCACAACGGCTTTTAAAAAAAACCAGGATGACAGGTTGATTGGCGCCCTGCACCAATTGTTGACAGAGTTCACGGGGTCAATGCTCAGCGGGGGCCTTTGAGTCGTGTGCCTTGGTTAATGACAGGTGTCAGTGAGGATGACCCACATCAGGATCACTGGCTCCCAGAGACACAAGAGGACGGAGGAGGGTTTCTTTAACTCACTTCATCGCTAGATCAGAAGCTACAGAATATAAGCATGCATGTTGTGGTCAAATTCTTAAAAAGGAGTGGTTGTTGTGAGGTGATTATTGATACAAAATTTGGAATTTCAACAATTTCATTACCAAGGGGCAATGGCATCACAATCCTGATGTTTTCTTTCTCTGCACTAGATCTTGTCACACACTTTCTGCCGTCGGCGCACCAAAAGAGCTGAATACAACATCAACTGTTAGCTTTAAAGCTCCTGTGAGGAACTCTTGATTTGTGTAGAGTTTGGCCGCCCCTGTGGACAAAGTGGTACCTCTTATACCTCTGTGATTTGGGAGTGATTTTCTTCTGCCAAAAATCGACCCTGCTTCTTTTTACAGCCAAATGTCATCGCTAATCTTTGCTGTGGAAAAAGTGTTTTAAAAAGGCTGATTCATGCAACTCTTTGTCTGACACCTACCCCATACTGCAGTTATTGCAAACAGTTAGTCAAACTATGGAAACACTCACTCTTTATGCTGATGATGATCTTGTTTGCTTTTGTGGCTCACAAAGAGGCAGCAATATACACTTCAGTCTGTTTCATGGGTAAAAACTCCACATAGGAGCTTTAATTTGACTTTGAACACCTAAAATCTAAGTTTGATAATGAATCATTTCCCACAACATGATTGGATGAATTTTGGTCATTTGATGGGTTTATTTTCAATGGAAGAGTATCATCTCAATCCAGTTGCTCTTTATTCTCACCAAATCATGAAACTTGATATGTGACAGTACAACAGTGTGTCAAATAATGCCTAACCAAGAAGAAAACTACATTTTCAGTGCTGCAATTCGATTTCCCCTCCCTGTAAGTTCAGTATTGTGAGAGGAAATACAATAGAATGAAGCTGCCATTCATTTATGACTCAATAAATCCACTTAATTAATGTTCTGTTGAATTCAGTGACCTGTTTAAGCCGAACTTTCAGCCTCTGTGGTCTCAATCAGTCATCTCTCCACATGCCTTACCTTTTGACGGATGCAGCAGTTTGTACAACTTCTCGTTCCTGCACACCCCGCGGCCGTGCAGCAGCGCGTGCAGCGGCTTCTCCTCGCCGGTCTTGGGGAGGCAGCGGAGCCCGCGCGCACACGGCTCCGTGTACACGCCGCACGCCTGGCCCTCTTCGAGCGCGCACGTCAGACAGCAGCCGCAGCCGGGTTCCTTGACAAGTTGACAGGCCGGCACCGGCGGACACATGGACAGGGCCTTCTTGTCGCACAGCTGGCAGGGCACGTAGGACGAGTCGCAGTCGGTGATGCTCAGCAGGGTGACAACCAGGAAGGGAATACGCAGGAGCATGGTGCACTTTAGTCTGAACTGAAGGTTGTTTGATTGCAACCTGCAACGTGTATCAACTAAATCTTACGGTGAATCCTTTCTTTGCAAAAGGCTTCAGTCCAAACAAAAGGGGGTGTTTGCATCCACAGGTGCTTTGCGCGCTCAAGTCCCAAATTGCAATGCATCCAAAGCTCACACTCTCTCTGCTACCCCCTCTCTGCAGTCCTGCAACCTTGAAGTCAATTTAAAAAGAGCAGAAAATATCCACATATATGTAGGCTATCTTATCCTTCAGTGATGCTCCGCCGTTTACGCGCAACGTCTCCGTCTCCAAATGGGAAAGAAAAAGCGTCTGATTCCCGATGCCTCTCCCTCTGTAGGTTATTTAACCCGCACGGTTTGTGAGCAAAATGTATAATCTGCGGCTTTGAGCTTGCCTTTTAAAAAAAGAAACTGCCTGAGGCGAAGCCTATAACGATGGGTATGTCAAACAACGTTTGGAGAGGGGGAGGCGCACTTGTCAACTCCGCGCGCTGCGATGCTGATTTCACAGGGCGGGTGCTGGCATGCCTCCAGATCTGCCAGATATGAGACGATGCTCCTGAAGGCGACTGAATAAGACCTTGTCTCTCTCTCTCCCTCTCTCTCTCTCGCTGCACAGTGGCCATTTAGTTTCCCCAGGCTCATGGAAACAACATTGTCATTATTCTTTTAGCAGTTTGTGTTTTAAAACAGGACATGTCACTCCCTACAAGAGCACCAAGACTGCTGAAACTTAGAATTTGAATAGCACTTTTAGAGTTTACAGGAGAGAGAAACAATAAGGTGTTGCCTTTACTGCAAATAGGACAGAAACATGGCAGAAGAAGAAAATGGGACTAAATTCATTCCTTAACATGGTTTTCAAAAATTGGCTTTCAGTTAAGGAAATACTTTGTCTGTTCTGTTGGTCCCAAAAAACATCAAAGAGAAATTAAAAATGACTATACTCTCCTTACTCAGATACACAAGTATTCACATTCTTCATCATTATCTTCCAGCATCAGTAATTTACAATCAAGGATGAGAACAAGTTGTTCCTTCATATCTCTTACTATATACAAGCATAGTTCTAGTTCTCTGCTTTCCTATCACAAACGCACCAATTTAAATCCCATTTTCCTGACTTGACCCCTGAAATCTTGTGTTCAGGCTTGGAATTCATCCTGATCCCTGCATGTTTTACTGCAAAAAGCAGAAATCCAAGATGATCTCCATCAAGATCTTAATACTTGTCTGACATTTCCTCCTTGAAAGATGCGGTCAGATATTTATGTTGAACATGTTGCCCTGTGGAGCTGCCAGATGGACGCCCCGATACACTCTTACATGTGCCATTTTCTCCTTTCTTTCAGAAACCTTTGGGGAAATTTGACTGCCTAATGGCGCCAAATACACTCATGTAACAAAGCTGAAGCTGTTCAAAGTTAAGGGTGGGATCCTGCTTGTGAAGCAAGAACACTTTTACAATTCCCCTTAGATATCTTTGGGTTTCTCGCTTTCGCCAAAGAGCTGTAGCTTAAAATATTTGTACGATGCTGTCTTAACCATAACAACAGCACTCTCCAAAGATGTACGTTGTAAAAAAAAAAAGAAAAAAAAAAAAGGCCTGATCAGGGCAGATCCGGACTCACACTGACCCTTTTTTATGAGCAAGCGCGGGTCAGTGTCCAGCAAGATAAGTGGTCAGCCCTTTTGGAGTACAAACTGCTCATAATTCACTTGATGTTTTGGCAGATAGCAATATATGTCTAAGATGATCAGCATGTTTTTGTTTTTAGTAAACAGAGCCTCTGTGGAGCCAAGGAAGAGTTTATTAAATGCTTTTGACCCAAGTCAAGAACGAGTACACTGTGTAATTCTCGGTTATATGGCTTTATTTACTCCTCTGATTACATCCTGTTATTTTTCATCTTGTTTTGTAAGTTAAGTGGGGTTTTAGTGTCCTTTTTATGATAGAATGAATTCAACATGGGATGTTTTTCAGCCCTGAAACTGACCTTTACAGACCCACACTGATCAAAGCTTCTTTTCACTTCCTCTCCCCCCCCCCCCACCCCTTTGTGAAACTTTGTCGGCAAACTCTGCTCTTATCAACCGACCCCTTTTTTGCCTATGCCCTTGACCTTTGCATCGTATCAGGTGTCAGACAACGTCACAATAGGTGGAAAGGTCAGCTCATCGTGGCCCACACAAACCTCTCATTTCTCCATCTACCTGTCCACATTAGAAGAAAGAGCTCCATTCAGATGATACATGTGTGCAGCAAGTCTGTCTCTCACAGGTTTGGACAAACAATTCAAAGGTGGTTCAACCTACACCTAAAACAAAGTAAAACCAATCACTTAAACACGGCCCAATCAACAACTAACATGATTAAAACCAATAACCCAATGATGGTCCAACCTTGACATGGTCAAACCAACATCTGAGGCCAGCCTCCTTGTATCATCTCAATGGTCGCAACTTCACGTCTACCTCTAAAACCATCTCGTCTCTGCAACACCTCTGTTACGACCTCCAAAAGATAGTACAGATGGTGGACCACTTCGTCCATCCATTAAGGTAATTATGGTACATTAAGATTGAAAGCAAAACATCACAGGAGTAAATATTGTGGCTTGAGGCGGCAGTCTGAATTGTGCTTATGATTCATAAAGTGACCATTTATTACCAATATTGACTCTGCTTGTATTCCAGTCTTGTTTTGTTTTCTCCAGATGTAAAACAGTTTGGGAACTGTGGTCTAAGGGCTGCTGGGGTTCGTAAACCCTGCCACTACATCTGGGTATGAGTCAGTTGGTGTATGGGCCTTATGATGCACAGATGGCACATTAAATTGTTCTGGTTTGGGATTCCCCTTGAATTTAAGACCAGGGCAAGATATTTGATGGTTTTTTTAAAATTATTATTAGGGTGTGTTTATTCTGTAAATTCCCTAAGCAACCTTCAATCAGCTAGCGGTGTAATGGTACAAAGTAATAATCAACGTTTTAGTCAGAAACATAGCTTTGAGTTTACCTTGGTTTGGTAAACAGATGTGTTGAAATGAAAAAACTCAGGTTGACTGGTACTTTCTGACTTTAGCTCATTTTAACTCTCTCTCTCTCTCTCTCTCTATTTTGTGTCCCATGAGGGTTTCTGCCAGTGAATTGCACACAGTTAATAAAACAGCATGATACCTTTCACCCCCCTGTGACAACAAGATAATACAACAGCCCTTTTCTCTCTTTGTGTTTTCCTGATTCTTGATATTTGTCTGTATCACTTTTTACGAGTTGTTGAAGTCAATGCGTGTATTTCTTCAAGTTCCCTCTGGCCTTCTTTTGCCTCTCCAGAACATTACTTTGAATTTAGAAGGAATATTTTGTGTACCTTTACATTCGCTCTTGGGGTTTTCAATGTTCAGAAACGTGACATATTATATAGGCTGACACAAAACATACAGAACAAAAAGGATAGAAGTTTTCATCAACTGAAAGAGATTCTCCTCTGGATTGGACGTTCGAGAGATATATTCAGTTGTGTTCAAGCCATCCATCTTTTTCCCCTCTCATCTGTGATTCTCTACCATTGTTTTTCTGCTTCTGTCTGCAGCTTGGCTTTCTTATGCTGACCTACTTTATCCATCCAAAGGAAATGAAGCAGCTCCTACACTTGTTGTGGAAGTGTTAACGAAGCTGCATTGAACTTGAGTGACGTCTAAACGAAGAGAGAAATGATCAAAAGTGGAAAAAAAAGAAGCAACCTCAGCACAAAATGGTGTAGAGTTGTGATACAATCTAAGGGAAACAGAGCTTTAGTGTCAGATTTCTTTTCAGCCCGAGGACATTGGGCAGAAGATCAGCACTACAGGAGAGTCAGGAGAGGAAAAGTTTCACATTGAAGTAATCCTAACGAAAGTGATAGGCTTGGTCTGCAAGACTTTTTCTGGAGATTGACAGAGTATCTTTTTTGCCTTGAAAATCCAAGTCAGGTATCTTCAAATAAGACTGTAAACATTAGGATTTTATCAATAACCATTATTTATTTTGGATGTTATCTGTGTTTGTCTTCTAAAAATGGGCTGCTTATACATTGCAATCCCTCTACCCTGGTTGACAGGTTGTAGGAGCAGTCTCTAGTCAATTACAGCTTGCCTCAACCTAAAGCACACCCTGCTTAATCTTAATCAACTTGAGTCGTCCCCTACTGGCCTTCAGAAGGAAAGTAGGTTCAAAGAACATCTACATTGACTTTACTTTGGAAACCAGAGGTTTTGTCTAATTGTCTCTACGTACAACAATGGATTTTCTCTATAAACAGATGCATTATCTGAATTCTGAATGGAGAATATGAGGCAAGGGACACATTTTTGGTGTCAGTTCTGGCTTCTGTTTGTAGACTTAGTACTGTCTTCTATATGTTCTATGAGCATAGACTGTGTGTAGGAAAATAATCAGTGTAGAAAGCAAATCTCGGATGATTTGAGATTGCTATGTGTAAAACTAATGGAACGTGAATGAACAATAAAGTGAAATGAAGCATTAGATTCATGGGCAGATTGGTGAGCATTGCCATTTGATCTAAGCGTTTGCATAGCATTTCCATTCAATTTAAGTTTAAAACGTTACTGATGGTTGTGAATTGTTGATAAGGAGTGAAAAAATTAGATTAATCAACCAAAAGCGGGTTTCCCTTGGGGTGTTTTTGCTTTTAGACATCAGAAGCATTTTAAGTACAATAAATTATCCATTGTGTTGAAACAAGTCACTGGAGGTGCTCTAGAAACTGAACAGATTGCCTCCTCAATGTGGATAATAGGGACCCAAAAGCAGACCTGGATAATACTGTGGAGGTTCCAGCCTTTCAGGGGATGGATCTGCAGCCAGATCAAGGAATATGTGGGTGACTTACCAGAAAATGATAAAAGAAACTCATGCACTCACACACAGTGCACTTCTAAAGGGGGTTGGCTTCAAGTCAGTTATCACCCCGTCTTCACGCAGCTTGATGTGAATCAACAGCTGACTAGTTGTACGTGACTGATGTGCACCATATGACACAGTCAGAGCTTACTGTAAGCGACAAAGCCGAGTAAACCGCTGCAAATGTGCTGAGGCAGCATGCGTCAACCTCCCCCATATAGTCTCACGCAGAGACAGAGTCGGTTCCCAGAATACTGTAAGCACTCAATTTTCAGAAACAATTAGAGGAGTTGACACTGGATTATCGGCGGCTAAAATTTCAAGCAATGCAAGTGTGTTTGTTTGTTCAGTTTGAAGGACAGCTGGAGCTCATGGACTTTTCCCAAAGCATACTAGAAAATAAATAACTGGTTTAAACTAATTGTCGTGATTTACTGGATTTCTAATGGTTGTTTACATTTAAAAAAATGTTTTTTTGATATGAAAAGTTGTCCTATGCTGCACAGGAAGGATGTTTTTTATGTTTTTTTGGCAATGGCAGTAGTGTTTGTGGGAATATAGCATTAGCAGTAAACAAGCAGAGCACCACTTTTT